CACACAATACAGGAGGAAGACTAGGCAGTGAGACAGGTATATGAGGCCAGGTTTTCAAAGCTACTTAGCTCCAATCAAACTGCCTGAACAAGGGCTGGATTTCAGCAGCACTTCCTGTGCTGAGCTCTTGTGGAAATCTGGCCCCACCTGGAGGAACAGAGCTGCTTTCGGTGGCAGGGCCCATCATGGTAAAACCACAGGTATTTCTGGGGCAGTCCCTGACAGCAGATTGCCTTGTACTCCTGCCTTCAAGAACTCGCTGTCTCCCTGAGCTTTAGCCTTCCTCCTACTGTAGAGAACCTTAAATGAAACTCTTCTCTCACTTCCCTCCACTGGGCAACACTCTCTCTTCAGCTCTGTAACTAATACTCCCATGCCATTTCTTTTCCAGCTTTGGGCGCTGACCAAACCCATGGAAGAAGAGCAGCAGGTATGTGACATTGCAACAGGCCTGTTATCACCGACTGGCAGTTCCTCTAGAGCTGCCAGGGGTTTGAGTAGCTAATAGGAGTAGTGAATAGCACACCTGAGACCATAGTCCTTCCAGATCCCAGAACGGGTTTTCTACATCCAGACGGAGCCGTTCCAGGATCACACAAGTCAGGTGAAAACATGAATCAGCGCTCCGCCATTTTCAGTTGATTCCCCCAAATATCACAATTTCCTGTTATGTTCCTTCTTGCTTTGTATCCTAAATAGGGGTCAGCAATATATGTTCCATGAGCTAGATATGGCCTGTAGAGCCACTGGATGTGCCCCTTGGAGCTGGAGGGCTTTGCCCATACCCATGCCCATGCTGGGGCTGAGCAGCGAGGAGTTGTGGTAGAGTTGGGCAGCTGGAAGCTGCACCTACATCAGCACCATGACTCCTCATGCCCATCCTCCTGGCTGCAGCACAGGCTCAGCTTCCAGGCAGTGAGGAACTGAACTGGGGCTGGGCAACTTCCAGCTGTGCTTGCTCTGCAGCTGGTGGGTGGTGAGAAGTGGCAGCAATACAGACACAGCTTCCAGCTGCCCACCCCTGGCTCAGTCCCTGGCTTACTTGGAAGCTGTGCCCACACGGCAACCAGGAAGCTGAGAGATGGGGAGAAGTGCCAGAAGCACCGGAACCCAGTGCAGACGTAGGCAACTCCCTGCCTCTCCCCCCTGCCCACACTGCAGATGTACCACTGAAGTTGCCCAGTTTGAGGCCAGGTTGTTCTGGCCCATGGCTTTTAACAGTTGCTGGCCCCTGATCTGAAGTGGTATGTATTGCTGCTTGTCCTGCATTACTGGCACTGCAAAACACACCCTGTGCACATTTGTTGTTATTCTGTGCTCCATATTTGCAGCTCGGAGCCAAATACAGATACCAGGAAATCCCAGTATAAAAAAAGCATGCTCCAGCTGTCAGCCAGGCCCTGCGTGCCCAGATCACCACCGCCGTAGCCCCAGGAGGCCCCCAGGACCCCTACCCCACCTGCAGCACTTTGCCTCCCTCCAGAGCACATGTGCAGGGGCATTCCCCGGGGACAGCTAGTACCGGCAGAAATATGTGCTGCTGCTAGCTGTCCCTGGGGAACCCCGTCATGCACGCTCGCTCGTCAGGATGTTCCCAATCCCAGAGACTTAAAACTATGCATTTTTGCCTGCATCCTAATTCCAGTGGGATATAAAGAAGCACTACAGGACCTCCAGCTAGTTGATTCGGGGATACTATATGAGGAAATGTGCAATACAATTAGGTAAGACACCATTTATTCTTGTTAAAGTAACTTTATTGCAGCATTAATAAAGACTCTTTTATTACCCTGAACTTCTACCAGGATATCTAATGCTTCATGTCTCTCGCCCAGGTTACAGGGAGGAGTACACTGCACACATACAGGACAAGTATGGAGTAATAAAAGACAGGAACTCTCTTCCTGGTGAGAAAGTAATTCTAGACAGCAGATACACCAAGCTGATTATTGTAAAGGAAACACGTGCCAGAACGGAAAGACAACATGAAATAATGGCCTCAGGACAGAGACATGCAGAAATCATGTATGAGCAAGAGAGATCCCTCACCATTGGTGACTTATTTGCAGCTGATGAGAAGGGGAAAACTCCGCGAATTGCTGTATTGCTGGGAGCTGCAGGGATTGGGAAAACACTGACAGCAAAAAAGATCATGGTTGACTGGGCGGCTGGAAAGCTTTACAACGAGAAGTTTGATTATGTTTTCTACATAAACTGCAGAGAAGTTAACTTTGACACTGAGCAGGGAAGTGTTGCAGATTTGATGCTAAGGAATTGTCCTGATCGACATGCACCGATTGAAGCAATGTTGGGGAATCCCGAGAGACTCCTGTTCATAATCGATGGTTTTGATGAACTGAGGTTTTCCTTGGCTCAGCCAGAAGAGAGTCTGTGCTCTGATCCCTGGGAGAAGAAACCAATGGAAATCGTGCTGAGCAGTTTAGTCAAGAAAAAAGTCCTTGGGAAATGCTCCTTACTCATTACTACAAGACCAGCTGCTGTGGAGGAGCTCGGGCAGTGCTTGCACAATGAGCGCTACGCTGAAATCCTGGGGTTTTCAGAAACTGAGAGGAGAGAATACTTTGACAAATATTTTGGCGACGAAGAGAAAGCAAGAAAAGCCTGGAATTTTGTAAAAGCAAATGAAATGCTCTTCACCATGTGCTTTGTCCCCATTGTCTGTTGGATCGTCTGCACTGTCATCAAGCAGCAGATGGATGAGGGTGAGGAACTTGCACAGACTTCGACAACAGTCACAGGAGTGTACCTGCTCTACCTTTACAATTTACTGAGGGATCCAAGAAGCAAGTCAAAGCAACTCCTACAAACTAACTTGAAAGGACTTTGCTCCTTGGCTGCAGATGGGGTCTGCAGGCAGAAAATCCTGTTCGAAGCAGAGGAGCTGAAGAAGCACGGCTTAGACACATCTGACTCCCTCTTTCTGAACGAGAACCTCTTTCACAAAAGCACTGACTGTGAATGTCTCTACAGCTTCATCCACTTGTCTTTTCAAGAGTTTTTTGCAGCTTTGTTTTATGCTCTGGAAGAGGAAGCGGCGGCAGTAGACAAAGGCTCAGGAAATGACATAAAAGCTTTGGCAGCTTTGTTAGCCAACTGTGGGAAACCTATGGGAATCGCATGGGCAGAGGTCAGATTTTTCATCTCCGGTTGAAGAGCTTGATCAGCTTGAGGATTTTCACTGTTTGTATGAAATTCAAGAAGAAAAATTTGTGCAAAGCGCATTGAGTCATTTAACAGCTGTGAATTTAATTTCTCATACATTTACCCAAATGGATCAAGAGGTGCTTGCGTTCTGTGTAAGAAACTGCCACCAATTAGAATCACTTCTTCTAGAGGCTTGTGAATTCAGATATGAAGGCCTAAATGAAGATGTTTCAAGATCCCCAAAGCAGCCACCTCTGTAAGTATTACCTGGGCTTCAAAAACACTTACATATTTTTTTTTTTAATGTAACCCTGGGTGTGATGCTACCCACGCCCTCTCCTGAAAAGTGGATTTCTGGGGTAGCCGGTGGCCTGGCTCAGCTCCCTGGGTAGCTGCTGCAGTGTCCCAAAGCGCAGAGCCTCCCCGGACAATCGAAACAACCTTGCAGACCGTTATAAAACTATTTACAAAATTTAATTATTTACAAGATAACATATAACTAATACAAGAAAACAGATAATGTTATCCAACATAACCTGGCATTGGTGGCTTAAGGGTTAATACTTCTCAAATACACATTACACCAGGGGAAGGCATACAACTTACCCATGCTACATAAGGAGCCAATAAATAAATAAATTGATACATCAACTAATAAACCATCAAGAACTTATTTACACACTTAGTCTATAACTTGTATGTGCCGGGGTAGCCATGAGGACGACACTAAACTATGGGGGAAGGCGGTCCCACTGGAGAACAGGTTGGGGATACAGGCCGATCTGCACAGGCTCGCAAGGTAGGCGGACCAAAACCTGATGGCACTGAATGCAGAGAAGTGCAGGGTGCTCCACCTTGGGTGGAAAAACCAGCATTATATCTACAGGCTCAGCAGTACTACACTCGCTAGCACCACGAGTGAAAGAGAGCTGTGGGTCTTGACAGACCAACACGAACCACCAATGCAATGTCGTGGTCAGCAAAGCAAACCAAACTCTGGCATGCATCCATCGATGCATCTCAATCAAAAGCAGGGACGTCATCCTCCCACTCTATTTGGCCTTAGTGAGGCCGCACCTGGAGTACTGCATCCAGTTTTGGGCCCCCCACTTCAGGAGGGATGTGGAGAAGCTTGAGAGAGTCCAGAGGAGAGCTACCTGCATGAGCAAAGGCCAAGAGAGCAAGCCTTACAAGGAGAGGCTGAGGGACATGGGACTCTTGAGCCTGGAGAAGAGACGGCTCAAGGGGACTTGGTGGCAGCCTAAAAGTACATAAGCGGGTGCACCAGGAACGGGGAGACCAGTTGCTCACCAGGGCTCCCCAAGGGATAACTAGGTCTAATGGCCACAAACTTCTGGAAGGCCGATTCAGACTGGACATAAGGAAAACTTCTTTATGGTCCAAGCATCCAAGGTCTGGAGCAGACTCCCCTCAGAGGTGGTGCAAGCCCCCACTCTGGACTCATTCAAAGCTTTTGGATGCTTGTCTTGCGGGGCTCATTTGACCCCAGCAGGCTTCCTGCCTATGGCGGGGGCCTGGGCTCGATGATCGTGCGAGGTCCCTAATGTCTGTGAATCTGTGACCCTGTGTACACTGCCCTTCGGCTTGGTTTCTCAGGCTCGCAGTCCCCTGACAGGCAGGTCCCGTCTTGCGCCTGCCCCGGCAGGGCTCCCAGGGGGCTGAGAGGAAGGACACGCTGCACTGTTGCTCTCTCCGGTGCATCCTGTCCCCGCTGCCTCTGCGCGGCTCCGACAGGGGCTGTGTGAGGGACGGCTGTGGGGAGGTCCTTTTCCTGGCCTCCAGCCTGTCTCTCAGCCCCTCTCTCCCCTTTGTTCTCCTCCCTGGGAAAAACTGCTCCTCTTTCCCCTTTCCTGTGAATGCAGGACACGGAGCTAGATGTACGCGGGCTCTGAACCAGTGTGGCGTCTCTTCTGTTCTTGCTCTCAGTTCAAAAGGCAAAATGCTCAAAACACTGTAGCTTGTTATGTTATACCCTGACATTTTTGTGAGGATGCTGGTCCCTGCCCACATCAGCTGTCTGTTAAGCCATGAAACATCCTCTGAGTCCTCTCCCTGGGCTCTATAACCAGGTTATCTGGTGGGCTTGCCTCTCCCACCAGGTGGGGATGAAACAGCCGTTCCTATGACAGGCACAACTTGCCAAACTGCTCTGCCTTAGCTTTTGCCAAAGTAGTTTGTTTGCTGTGGGATGGGGAGCATGTGAATCTCTGGAAGTAGCTGTTATATTTTCATTGTTCTCCAGCAATTTGGGATTATATTTTAGATGTAAGGTAATTCTTCTCACAGTTATTAGTGCGGCTACTCTTGCTCTGGTGACAAACAGTCACAAAAGTTTCAGCTCAAGCTCTTGAATGTAAGTGCCAAATATTTGAATTGATGCCTATTGCCATGGGTGTGGGCTGCCATCCCAGGAATGAGCGCTGTGAGTGCCTATACATGCATGGGGACTGCAGTGTCCCGAGTCTGGGGGGCACCAGATCGCCGATGGGGGTGGGGGGGTCCCCCAGTGGACGATTGCCGAGCGTGGAACCACCAGCAACAAAACCGGAATCACACTTCCGCTGGCACTTCTGGTTTCACGACTGGCGCTTCCAGGGGGTGCACGGCCAATCTCAGGGGGTGCACGTCCACCTGCATGCACCCCCTACACATCGCCAATGTATACATGTGCAACGAGGCTGCTCCGATGTGCTGGGATTCCAGCGCGTTGAAGCAGACTCGATTAATCGCATGGTAACTACTGCTCTCCTGCAGACTCCAGTGTCTCGGGTATCAGCATCCCAGAGCTGACAAATGGTGGCGGGGGTGCATTAACTAAAGCTCATTCAACAAGATTTCTTGAAAGCGCCCCCACCACCATTTTTCAGCACAGGCACGCTGATACACATGACACTCCAGGCACCTTAATTAGAACGGCTCTTGGAGCCACTCGAATTAAAGCAACTTCCCCTCCCCACCCCAAATCCCAGATCATGTGTATAAATGCCCCAAGATACTGAGGGTATGGACAGACATGTAAATTCTGCCTTTATTTGTCGCTCTTGCATTGTGCACCCCTTCAGCAGCATGTCGATATAAAGCCCCCTCCCAGCTGAGGGGCTGCTTCACCACTCCACCGTGCAGGGGCTGGTGAGCAGGGATCCTGGAATAACTCTCAGCCACAGATCCCCAGGGGCTTTCAGAAGCAGCCGTGTGGAAATGGGGAAAGAGCCTTTTCAGTACGTGACTGCCAGCTTCTGCCCTGTGCTTCCTTCAAGTGCAAGGCTCCTTGGGTTCATTTCTGGGGGGCTGGCCAGGCGCAGCATCATTGCATTTTGAGGGGAGTGGAGGATGGACACTTAGCACTAGGTCCTCTTCTGCCTAGTAATGATCTCCATGGACTTGGACCCTCAACTCTGATCCTAGTCCACTCGGCTTATTTCCCTGAAAATTCATCAAATTCCAGTTTTCTCTGATCTACTTGTCCAGCATGCTATTTTCTTGGCTTTAAGATTCAATCATGAATAAGCCATGAGTAAAAGCAGGACTTGCCAAAAATTTGTCTGATGAATTTTCCAGGGATTCAAGCAGTGTGCAATAGGATCACACTTGACCACCTAAGTCCTCTTACATTAAGAAATGAAACAGGGCCTGGCCCCTGCTGTCTGTCTTCCCTGTGCCATAAACACGCACTCCACATCCCTGCTCTGATGCTGGCTGAAACATCTGCAGCTGCTCCTGCCTTCCACTGACACACAAGCTGTCTATAGTCACAGTGCAGACGAGGGCAAGATCTTTCATAGTGTCCTGTCCCTGCACAGACCTAGTCACCCACAGCCGAGTCTCTGGTTTCCTGACCCCAGATCTCTTTTCCTACTTGATACACATGGTGCCAGACCATTTCCTTGCACAGGATCCCTACCAGGCTTGGTGGCTGCTCCTCTGCTCTGGAGAATCAGCCCCTTCATCTCCAGCCATGCCTCCCCCTGGATGTGTGGGCAGTCCAGGAGGTGCAGGAAGATGGTCTGGGTCTGCTTTAGCTACCTCATTGCCTCCTGAAAACGAAGGCGAACCTCACAAGAGTCCTTCTATGCATCACTTCTATCCACTTCCCTCGCCCAAATACCTGTCTGTCCTTCTTTCCTGCTTACCCTGCTAGCTATGTTCCCACTGTGTGACAAAGTGCGGTTCATCACTCAGCCCAGCCCACGTGGCTGGACATGGCACCGCAGGCTCTGAGCCTCAGTCTTCCCTGCCTGGAGCTGCTCCCTCTGTCTCAGGGCTCTGCTTCTTACACTTCGATCTCGCAGCCCCGCTCCTTCCGAGGGGACAATGACCAGGGAGTCCCAAACAAATCAGGTGAAGTCCCCAGGGCTACTGCCACGTGCTCCACTTCCTCCTTCCCTTCGAGACACCTGTCCTGTCTCACTCTTCAGTCTAGGCAGTGAGACTGAGGTTTTCTCTCTGGTGTTCTCCAGCAGCACTCATGGGACATCCCAAACAACCCAAACTCCACTGAAGAAACTTTCATTCAGTCTGGGATGAAGCATTGAGTCCCTGCTGGACTCCTTTTACATTCCTGGGTCCTCTTAAGCAACACCAAGACACAAGGCTGCCTCCCTGGGCCTTGCTCCTTCTCATGGTCCACTACTGCAGAGCAGCTGGCTTCACTTCTTATTCCCACCCAGCTTCCACCACAGGGAGAGGCAACACCTTGGTCTTTCGTTTCCTGATGAGTTTCATTCTCGATTAAGGGCCTCTAACTCTTAAAAGCCTCTACCTCAGGCTTTTCATGCTTCCCCACATGATGTGTCACCAGCTTTGAGACAACTTAGGATGCCTCAAATATCCTGACATGTTACACACTATTGATTGCTTCCAAATCTAACATGACAGCTAAAATCCAAACCTTTAGATTTTGTGGCTAAATTAAAATCCACATTCATGATTCAGTAAAAGTGCTGATTTCTACTGTATCTCCAAAAACAATAAAACAGTTGGTTAACACAAAAAGGAAAAAAGCATTGGAGATGTTTGCTAAGTACATTCTGCTTTAGATGATGTGCAGTGGATTGAAACTGTAGACTAGGTTACATGTAAGATATGATCACGTCATCCAAGATGGGTTTGGAAAGCTGAAGAAATGAACTGAAGTCTGTTGGTAGAGAATCCAAACAGTTCTGTTCTCTCTTTGTAGGGAACAGGAGACTCACTCGCCTATTTACCTGCTGTGTCAAGCACTGAAAGACCCACACTGTAAAGTGAAAAGACTATGGTAAGAAACTTTGTTCCTTTTAAAACCCCACGCTCCCTGATGCTACCACAGGAGTCCTACAGCAGACCAGGAATCTAGCTGTCCCAGGTCTGGTGTAATGATGGTAGAGAATGGTCTCATCTCTTAGAACTGGGTTTGCATGCACAGTCAATGGGGCAGATTCTCACTTGGAGTAAGTTGTCTCCAAGCTCCCTCATTTCAGTGGTCCTACAACAGTTTACAGTTGCTGAGAATCAGCTGAAATGTGTGTGTGGTCAGTTTATGTTGTGTTCTCTCTTTGTAGGAAAGAGAAGACTCACTCGTCTATTTACCTGCTGTGTCGAGCACTGAAAGACCCACGCTGTAACGTGAAAAAGCTACGGTAAGAAACTTCTTTCTTTTAGAAGTCCCAAATGTTCCCTGATGTTACCGCAGGAGTCCTGCGGCGGAGCAGGAATGAACCTGTCCCGGGGCTGGGGTAAGGAGG